AAAAAAACACTCTACAAAGTTACACAAGTCTTTATTGATCACATTACATGAAAGGACTGTTTAATAGACAACAGTTAGAGCAATCTAAAATTATTACATCGATAATCATCTATCTCAGATCGCAGAGCAAGTATTTAGTAGTTAATATCAAATTTTTTTGAAAAGAAAGTTATTACAGATACTCAGTGTAATACTAACTGACAACATGGAGACAGGCACTGTTGTCATCATCACAATTGCGCAACATCTGGAACTCTACCAACCCCTCCTTGCTGGCTTTATTACATGTTTGTTAAAATGTATGTTTAATACTAAATGTGAGTCATACAAGAGAAACTAACCCTGTAAACTATTTTTAATACATCAGGTGGGATCTAATTTGTGCAATGTGAATGTAAAAAGCAAACATATATATATATATGTATATATGAAAAATTGTTAAGAATATAAAATAAAATAATGTAGTAACACAATTTACGACCCTGTTCACATTCCTTGTTCTAAAAACTCCATGGAACATTCACAGACATGACTGAAGGTCTCAACTGTTCCATCAAATCAGCTTAAGCAGATTTACAAAATCAAAATTCAAGTATTTATAAAAGTTCTGCTGTAAAGTTGTTTGAGATTATACTACAGCTTTATATTACCCATTATCGAATGCATTTATGGACCACCCTGCTTGAAATAAACCTGTGCTTAAAGCTCAAAGTCAACCACTTGGCTACAGTTAGTTCTGTTTGGGTCCATCTCATCCTGTAAAAACTCACTCTGCATCATACATCGAACCTTTATGTACCCAACCAAAGTTTATTTTTGAGTCTGTAATGGGTTCATTCCCATTTTTTCCACTGGACAATATCCATTAAAACTGCATAGTGTGTTTTCAGTGGATAAGACAAACCCAAACAGCATGAGTAACAAGCCTGACTTGCCACCTATCAGTTATAACCTTCTGACTCTGTCAGCAAATACGCAGTCATCCCCGTCATGCTATACCACATCACCAACACCAATCACTCTGAACTAAAGAGGCCTCTTGGATGACACAGTTCTTCAGCCAATTAAAAATTTACTACAATATAATGGGATCATGCAGTAAGCTTAAGGAAGGAGAATGCATTTAGAGGACTGCTTGTAAACGGATATTGTAGCAACTTAGCAAGGTAGATTTCTTGAAGTGTCAGCACAGGTTTATGATGTTTGTATGTTTCCTGTATTTTCTTTTTTTGTTGTTGTTAGAGAGCATGTGATTTTGAAATGGTAAACATTTGGGTTTGGGAGCATATTACCCAAATGTTTGTGCAAAAAGCTTTGCCCATCTCAGACACAGCTTGAGGCAAAGTATGAAATATGTTTCACTCTGTGCTTAATTCACCAACATGATTTCCTAATTCTGTAACCAATGAGTGTTAGATGAAATCATATATATATATATGTGTATAAATATATATATATATACACACAATAAAGCTAGACCTGAAGATGAAATTAATAAAAATCTGGAAACTGAAACTAAGTTTTTGTTCAGGAGTCAAGTGAATGTGTTCACTTAAGTTTACTGATTTCTGCTCTGATTTGAGCGAGTAGTGACAAAATAAAATTTAAAAAAACAAATGCTAGATTTAAGTAACATGCAGGCACTAAATTATCTATGACATTTTTATGGTTCATTTAAGATGACCATTTTTTTGGGCTACAACATTTCAAGTTGAAAAATTAGTTCTTTTAAGAGCAACACAACAGTCATTATCATAACATAGACAGTTCAAATAGACAGCATTAAATGACATGCAAGCTGGCATATTAGTTTTATTGTGTGTTCCTATATAGAGTCATCCCTAACACTAACACAGAATTCTGTATCCAGGATGACAACTGGCCTTCATACAACAAACTATGATCACAGGGACTGTGAGTCAGGCAGAGATGAGGTGATACTGGCATATGACCACTAAAAGAAGCTGTATGCAATGCTTTGTTCTAAGCCATTAAGGATGCTTCTTTAGGAGTTTGGATATTAACTTAATCTTATTCAAATTTATCTATTTTGTGGTTCCCGTTAAAGGACCAGACTTACATTTTGAGTCACATTACAGACCTTTTAATTGCATACATCTCTGACTTATTCACAGATTCTGAAAAGTCAAAGTAGGCTTTTCAGAATTGGCTATTTATTCTAGATAGGTTTTGTAGGCCAGATTAAGAATGGAAATGTCATCTTTACTTGCCAGTACCAGAAAATTAACAACAGAAAAAATGCCACAAAAATGGAGCAATGAATACAACTTTACAGGTCGTTTTATGTTGACTTACAAAAATACATCGTAAACCAGCATTTGTTCAGCCGACAACTGCTACCACAGAAATCTGTGAATATTCATGAGAAATTAGATGCCAACTCGCACTGAATGTTACACTGCTACATCTTGGAAAATGAGATTTTGTGATGGCTCAACATGTGTAGTACAGGCTTTGGCTGAGCCCGTTTTCTGAAATGTTTGACTGTCTAAGAAGTTGATAGGGAACAGTGCAAGGCATGCTAGATGTACTGACATATAATGGGAACAATAGAACGATTCTGGAGTTATTTCAACAGATTTATTTTCCAGATACATCAACATTCTAAGAAAATTGCAGCTATTGTACCTTCTTTAAATCGTTTTCTGGATACATCTTTATGGCAGCACAGGTAAGAGGAAATCATCATTTCTGGCTAAGGAGATGGCCAATATTTACTTTTATAAACTTAACTGGCCCTGAATCCAGAAATAGAGGTTTGATAGAATATTATTATTGTTTAGATTGTGCTTATCATGACATAGACTGTCTGGAATTTCCTTCTCTGCATTCTGGATGAACTCAGACTTTGCTTGATTAGTCAGATTCTTTCAAGATCAGAATTTATTTGAGGTTGGCCAACACATCATTAAAGATGTTGAGGAAGAGGTGAACATGGTACTCCTTGAAAACCAATGCTGGACGGAAACGGATTGATCGATCCCCACATCCTCCCAGGAGGACACCTATCAATGACAAACAGTTACTACAGCAGTGTTCAAAGAAGAGAGGATCATCATCTTGGAATTTTGCATTTTCAACCCTAAATTTGTGAGGCTGTGGTACAGTAATGACTAGCACCCCAAACCGAAATAAATAAATAAATAAATAAACACACACACACACACACACACACACACGTCATCAGAAATTCTACAATTTCATTAAGCAGATGCTTTTATCCAAAGCGACGTACATCTGAGAGCAGATACAACACAAGCAAGGATCTACTCAGGAGAAAACAATCTGGAAAAGTGCTATAGAACAAATTCAAGTGTGACAGGGTGTTGATGCAAATAGCAGGCTGTGTGAGACGTAATTGGATTTTTAGTTTTTTGTTTGTTTGTTTTCAGGCAGTCAAGTGCAAAGGTATTTAGTGAAGAGCTGGGTCTTTCGTCTTTTCTTAAAGACTGAGAGGGAATCAGCAGATTGAACAGAGTTTGGTAACTCGTTCCACCACTGCGGATCCACAGAGGAGAAGAGTCTAGCTATCGACCTCAGCCCTGTTGTGGTGGTTGTATCTGGAGGCTTTTGTTGGTCGAGCATAGTGAGCGAGAGGGAGTGTAGATCTGAATGAGAGAGTTCAGGTAGGAGGGAGCTGTTCTTGTTGTGGTTTTGTAAGGAAGTGTCAGGGTTTTGAATCTGATGCAGGCAGCAATTGGAAGCCAGTGAAGCGATCTGAACAGCGGGGTGACATGTCCTGTTTTTGGCTGGTTGAAAACTAGATGTGCTGGTCAAAGTACTGTCCTAATTGCACAGTCAAAACTATTTACAGAAAACTATAAAAGTGTGTCCGTAGTTCAGGTCTGCTTTAGGCACGACATGCTGCTCATTATGGTGTGTGACTCAGCTCCCCATTGCCAGGCTCACAGCAGTGGACTGTGGTAACGAAGAGTGCTGTAGTCCAACGTTGCAGCAGGACCGACCACAGCTAACCTGTGATGGTCTTGTCCTTGTCTATATACTATGAGGTGGTCTCAGTGAGTAGAGAGAGAGATTTTTAAAAAAATTATTTTTCTTTTTCAGAGCAGTGGAGAGAGACACAAGAGCGGGGAGAAGAGTGGGGAAAGACCTGCAAGCAAATAGCTGTAGTCGGGAGTTGATCCCACGCCCACTGTGTTGGGGACTTTAGCCCCTGTTTGTGGGTCGCCGTCTTATCCAGTTGAGCAACCAGGTTGCTTCTAAGAGAAAGATTTTTTTTTAAAGTCTCTGTGTTCAGCTCTTAGTGATTTTTGTAGTTTTTTTCTGAATCTGCTTAGTACAAAGTTTAGTTTTGCTCTTGTAGTCCTCATTTTAATGTTTACTTTATCTTGACTTTCCTACACTTTCATCCACATTAGAGCTATGTTAAGTTACTACTGATAAAAACAGAATTATAATGAAGTCATTTGTAAAATCAGACCAAAGAAAGCCAGAGTAAGAAAAGGACAATCAGTCTATCATCTCGTGATATTGCCAATGCATCCTCGCATTAGTGAAAAACCTGCAGAACAAAGTATGACCGTATACACCCCTAACTAAACTAAACATGTCCTACTTAACATGAGAGTTTACAAGAATAAATGAACCGTAGCCCCTCCCCCCCAAATAAGAAATAGAGAATGACTATCGATTTGCTTTATACCTTTGTCTCTGGCCTTGACCAGGATCCTATCGCGTGTTGCATCATCACAGATGTCAATGGCACAGAAGGTCCCCTGTCCTCGAGCTGCGCTCAATATGCCGGGGTACTGAGCCTGGGGATTACAAGCATATAGGTCATGTTCACACACATTTAGGTCATCCAAGCCTGTGCCAAACCACAGTAAATGTGTTTATGACTGAGACAATAAAAATTCAATATAGCTGCTCTGATGTACAATTTAATGGGTTGAATACAATCAGAGATTTTTGGGAAATTTCTATCCCAGTTGTAATAGTAAAGAAAAATCTATGGGTTTAGGATAGGTATTGATTATATCAATATAACTGCTTGTGCGAATACTCAGTCTGGTACTTTGTTGATATGGTTTTTTGTAACACTGTGCAGGAAAAATAAACTCAAAACAGAATTTGTTTGTATTTTATAATAAAATATTCTAACAGCAATGCTTCCAATAGTATATAATGTAATTGTAATATCTATAATTATGTAAAATATAAATCGCATTATTCACTATCATTTCACTTGTCCTCTGCTGCTGCGGATTCATTGCTTGACAGGTAGCACAAGTAGAAGGAAGAGGGGCTTCCTGGATAGTCAACAAAAGTGCTAAGAGCCAGCATTCAAGATTCAGTCGAGATGAGGTAAAAGTACATCATTTTCTAAAATATATGAAAAACATAGCATATATACAGGGAGTAATACATGATGCATGCTCTGAATTATATACAAATTGAATAAATACATTTGGACCAAGTGAATTAAACTGCAACTGTAAGCACTGTACCTGTAGCTCATAAAGGCCATGTAGCAGGGCTTTCCCCGAACGGGTCACTTCCTCCAGAAGGTTTTCTCTACGGATTACATTAAGAACTTCTGAAAGGAACAAGTTCTTTGATGGGTCACCCATCCATGTGTTAAAGATGCGGTATGGCTAAAAAAAAAAAAAGAAAAAGGAAACAAAATAGGGTCAAAAGTATTGTTGATATGCATCATTAGTGTACCTGAAAGTATGAAAACATTTTGTATGAATACATTCAGAAGTATGAAAAAATTTGGATAAAACAGAAATTCAAATGTATAAAAAACATCAGAATAAATAGATTTATTTTTTAATTGGCAAGATATGTAACTGTGTACAGCATTTTGTAAATAAACCAGAAAGATTTGCACAAATACAGTTTTTAAAATTAATCCTTTACATCTGCATAGGAAGTGTGTCCTCTTGCACAGAGCCCCATATGTTTAGACAGCAGCCTAGAATTGGCCTAAAGATGGATTCTGGCATTTTGTTGTTGAAGTAGTAGCCAAAGTAGGCTCTCCTACATGCTTGGAAAGGGAGGGGTGAAGAGCAACCATTCCACTTGATGACACTAAATCACGCTAGTCCTTTAAGTACACTTACAAGGTTTTGACACAGTCTTTAATACATTATTTTGAGAATGTGGCCATAAAAGTTGACAGAGACTTCATCTAATTCAGCCCTGGTGTGTACTCCAGGTCGAGCCAGTCACTCAATATGCAAGCCATAGTGCAGTATTTAAAAAAAAATAAAAAAAAATCAAGCTCTGAGTTTTTAACTTCATATCCGTTGAACTCAAAGAAACGCACTTGGTCCACTTAGTATTTTGGTTAATGAGGTAATAACTACAGATATGGATACTAGGAGGAAATAAAGAGGACAATGTGCAGAACAAGAGCTACTTTTGGAAAGATCAAACCAGGGTCAAACCCAACCTGAGGACAAAAGGAGAAACACACAGTCTGCAACAGCTTACAAAGTTTGCTTTAATGGTATTTAAGAAACAGATGTTTTGTTCATGTCATGTTCAAAATTTTGTGAATATTTTAATGCATGGCTTGTATGTGAAGTGTTTGCTCATCGTGGGGCTCATACCCAGTTTGAAGGTCTGTGTAGAGCTTTTTGGTTACAAACTGATTACTAGTTCTGTTGTTGTGGAGCTCTCTTCTGTTTTGTTTTTTTTGCTACTCAATTTCATTATTGGATAAAAATAAACAAAAAAAGTCAAACCTTATCTGCCTGCAATTCATCCTTGTGGTAGTAGCCCCCAGTCAGAAGCTTCTTGCTGAAGGAGACAATGTCAGCAGGGTCATCCATGCCCCAGTGCTCATGGGCCCAAAACTTTCCTGTGCCACCCCCACCAGTCTGGACTTCATCCACATGAAAAGCACAGCCATGCTGGTGGAATGAAAAAAAATAACAGATTGAAAAGGACTAACAGACAGATCATGAATACAAACATAATGTAAATCTTGATTTAATCCAAATGCTGTGGATATGATAAGGCTGTGAAGATCTATGGATGGATCGCAGCTGTCATAAGATGAAGGTGGGCATGGCATTTCTGGATTTACTGCAGTCAAGAAAAGTCAAATCAAATTTATATATACAATCCAATGCCAGAAATTAGCTCAAGGACCTTTGCAATCTGTTATGCATCAAATGCCCTCTAGTCTTGTAATCAGTGAGTTGCTATTTTGGATTTAGCTCTCCTATGGATAACATATTTCACTGCTGATGGTAGGAGTGGCCACACAAAAGACAGAAACTGAGTTGAAATCTTTACACACCGCTTTTGCAAACCCATATCTACCAATCAGTTATTATCTATAATAATACTATATTAATAATATTACAGAATCTATAAATAATGGTAGCTAGAAGCCTGCCATTGGCAGCGTGTGTCACGTGGCTTTCTCCCCCTCTTCCACTGTCTGCATGTTACTGCATTCAAAATCTATCCTATAGGAAAAAACAACAACCACCACCTCTGGTCAGGAACTCACTACACTGAATTTTTAGTTTTGCATAGGATTTAGATTATGCAGAAAGGCAGCTCTGCTGTTTTCTTTTTTGATTTTGTTTTGGTGAATGAGTCATTTTAATGACAGTGCTCTCCACCTTGTGTGCAAATGATCGACCAAAACAATTCTCCCCCCCTTCACTATTTTGAAGGAGCACTATCACCGCATTCTTTGCTTAGTTCTGCCTAAGATGATAATTGGTTATGGAAAATAAACTCTTGTTTTTTGAATGATAGTGAGATGCAGCTATTCTGTGTTGCAAAACTGTTTAGCAATGTAGAAAAATACATTAAAAAAAAAAACCTAGAGAAGTGGAGAAGAGATGTATTTTGCAAAGTTGCAAAAAGTAAAATTTTGAGCCTTTTTCAATGTTAGCAACAGCTGTTTGATGATATAGTTAAGATGAAGGCTAATGTTTTTTATGAAATGTTAAATTTATTTGTCTCTACAACATTAGTGTCATTAAATACATTACTACACTGCTCAAAAAAACAAAGGGAACCCCTAAACAACACAACGTAACTCCAAGTCAATCACACTTCTGTGAAATCAACCTGTCCAGTTAGGAAGCAACACTGATTGTGAATCAATTTCACCTGCTGTTGTGCAAATGGAACAGACACCAGGTGGAAATGGGAGGCAATCAGCAAGACAACCCCTATAAAGGAGTGGTTCTGCAGGTGCTGACCACAGACCATTTCTCTGTTGTTGTCCTTTCTGGCTGATGTTTTGGTCATGTTTGCATTTTGTCAGTGCTCTCACCCCAAGAGGTAGCATGAGGCGGTGGCTACAACCCACAGAAGTTGCTCAGGTAGTGCAGCTCATCCAGGATGGCACGTCAATGTGAGCTGTGGCAAGAAGGTTTGCTGTGTCCAGAGCATGGAGGAGATGCCAGGAGACAGGCCAGTACACCAGGAGACGTGGAGGGGGCCATAGGAGGGCAACAACCCAGCAGCAGGACCGCTACCTCCTCCTTTGTGCAAGGAGGAGCACTGCCAGAGCCATGCAAAATGACCTCCAGCAGGCCACTAATATGCATTTTTCTGCTCAAACTGTCAGAAACAGACTCCATGAGGGTGGCATGAGGGCCCGACGTCCACAAGTGGGGCTTTTGCTTACAGCCCAACACCGTGCAGGGCGATTAGCATTTGCCAGAGAACACCAAGGTTGGCAGATTGGCCATTGGCGCCCTGTGCTCTTCACGGATGAGAGCAGGTTCATGCTGAGCACATGTGACAGACGTGACAGATTCTGGAGATGGCGTGGAGAACTATTCTGCTGCCTGAAACATCCTCCAGCATGACCGGTTTGGCAGTGAGTCAGTAATGGTGTGGGGAGGCATTTCTTTAGATTTGCCAAATAATAATATTAAATGAGACAATCAACCAGATTTTCACTCATCAGTTACTTGTCATGCTTGCCTGCTGACTTGGCTTTATCTGTCTCTAAAGATGTCATGACTACTCTGTATCCTCTAATATAGTAAAATAGAGTAAGACACCAGAAGCTCAGCCACTATAGCTACAAAACCAACCAACATAGTTATAGTACAATGTATAAGTGAATATTCACTGTGGGACTCAGCGGTCTCATCCTCTTCTCACTCTGCACTCAAGTCAGATCACATCATTGTAAAATCTAAATATAATGGAGCATAATCGCTGACATATTATCAACCACTACTCTATTGTCAGATATAAATTTTACCAAGGTGTGACTATTTCAAAGTATTACTCGGAATAATTGATGCATTTGTGTTAAAACTGTGGTGTTTGAGACTTGTAAACCAGTAGTTTTTTTCAAGTTCGATACACCTCTAAATGAGTACAACAGACTGCCTTTGAAAAGCTCTGTTACTTTTGTAGAAACTCTTACCTTGCGTGCAATTTTGCGGAGCTGTTTGAAGAAGTCTGGGGAGGCATGGTTGTCTCCGCCTTCAGCCTGAATTGGTTCAATTACAATCCCTGCCACAGGCATCCCCTTCTGCCTCCACTTCACGATCAGATCCTCCACCTGGATATGCAAACAAGCACACAAATGTATTTTTATTTTGGTCCAGGAGATATTTTCATGACTTAAAAGTGAAAAATAAATTGAACACTTTAGGTCGTTTAAATTTCCCCCATTGGGGGATCAATAAAGTATTCTATTGTATCTCTCACCCTGTGCAATGCTGAAAAACTCCAACCCCTCTCAAGGAGTTGGTTTCCAGAACCTTTGCTGCCCTGCCTGTCTGCTTGACTCCTGGCTTCTATTGCACCCAACCTCAAAGCCTTTGCCTGTAGGTGGTGGGACCACTGGGTGGTGGCCTCATGTAGCTTTTCCAGGCTGTGCTCAATCGAGCCCCAGGGCCTACAGCTTGGCGGCCAAACACTTGCCAACAAGCTCCCCCCCCCCGGCTGGGCTCGAGAAGGGGGCCACAGTCTCCTTATTCCAGGCGGGATAGCACTGCTCCTTGAATCCAAAATCACAGGGTTGCCTTGATTGGGTCTGTGGCAACGCAGCTTCATATGCCATAAGCTGCTTTGCAAATGTTCTTCTGACACCTTACTATCATAGCCAGCATTGGGCCTTCTGTGGAATTGGAGCATGCAGATTGGACCATTACTATGTCACTGGCTCATCGGTCATCCTTCCTTGAACCACTTTCGGCAGATACTAACCACTGCGCACCAGCGATACCCCACACAACCTGGACATGCAAAGTTTGAAGTCACTCAGATCCTCATGCCACCTTTTTTTTCCCCGGCTGCCAACATATCAACTTCAAGAATTGACTGCTCACTTACTGCCCTTACTCATCAAACAGTAAATGCTGTTAAGTGGTCACAGTTGTGCAGAATGCTGTCATTGTGCAGTTTGTCCACTAGATGGAGCTCTGACTCCATTCAGTCCTAACCGCTGTCTTCTCAGTAGTACAGGAGTAGGTTACAGCCAGGCATCATTACAGGAGTGAGATGAGCAGAGCTACTGACAGATAAGTTCACAACAACGTTGTGACATTAACAATGACTCCTGTTTCACTTTAGTCTCTTTGCCATGAGTCATGGTGACTGACGCGTGCTTCGTTGCAACGATCATGCTCTTCATTTACGTTGCATTGCTGAAGTTGTGCTAACCTTGGTTAAGTTACTCCCTGTCTGTTTATGTTAGCAATATACACAGCCTACCTCCTCCAGACAACGGGCCTCCTCCTGGGCATTCTCTCTGGTAAACTCCTCCAGTGGGTACTTCAGTTTGGGGAATGGGGCAATTGGCCAATCAAATGATGGCACATCCAGCTTATGGATTACTTTGGAGTGTGTTGTTGCCAAGCAACCTTAACGAGACAAAAAAGATGTTAGCTGAATACCCAATGTGGAAATGCTAATTTAGCCTTTAATGTACTTATTTAATAGCCTTTACCCTTAAATCATCTTATTTTGGATAGTACATTTTTGTATTTTGTTACATTGTGACTTTAATAAAAGAACAGTTTTCACTGTTGAACAGTCTGCCACTACATCTTCCCAACCCTTACTGCCACATGCTTTTAAAAGCAATTGGAGGAAGCAATTTCTTCCACACATGCTGTCACTAAAATATAACTATCAATATGGAGACCTTAGTATACAGCACTAAGACATCAGGAATACCATACACTTTAACCCTGTATATTTTTGTAATAGAGTGTATTTGTGTATTAATGTTCTCTGTGTGTATTTCTATTATGTTATTTCTCATTTATGCTGGCAGGTTCAACCATTTCCACACAGTATGTAAAACAAATGTGCAGGTGATGTGCATGGCAGTATCTTTTTTACATAGTGTATTAGGCAAGTTAGAGTTTCTCTCTTTTTTCAGGTCTCATTCGATTAAAAAAGAAAAAGCTTTTTCACCTTCCAGTATTTTGAACATTGGCTTTATGAAGTCGGTTCAGCTGACCAGACCAGTAGATCCTGAGTGTGTGAGATATTTATGCTGAAGTCTGCCAGCATAAAGCTAGCAAATATAGACACATAGCTGAAATTGTCACCACCGAGAGATGTAGTGATTATTGCACACTGAGAGTATGTGATTAGAATGGAGTTTGCCCCACATAGGTTTTGTCCACCTACACAATGACAACACTGAAATGCAAAGGGTACTGTAATGTGTTTCTTCCATAAGCAGAATGAAATTTGCTAGTTACATCATGTTACATTTCAAATTTAAAGTTGGTGTTCACAGTTGGCAGAACACTTCTTCAATATACCCACCAGCCTGGAAGGCTGAGTATCAGCCAGCATGCGGCTTTCAAAAAGAAGTCTCCATTATAAAAACCCTTTAATCTGGCTCTATTCAAACATATCCAGCCCGTTAAGGTGAGAGCTGCATACAAAACATCTGCATTATAGTAAAAGAGGAGAGCTGTTCAGTTTTTTAAATCTCTACACAGTGGCAACATTCATGTAAAACACTGACGTTTCCGTTTATGTAAGTATTTAACATACCCAGTGTTCTTCCATGGAAACCTCCCATGAAAGATAAAATACTGAGGTCTGGACAACCCGGGGCCTTAGATAGAAAGGCAAGGAATAAAAAGAGAAAGTAACAAAGCAACAGAAAAACAAAAACAAAAATAATGAAAAAGAAGCACATATTTAACACAATATAGCTAGAAATAGCAAAATATTATAAGAAGTAGTGAGACCTGATTTATCATGCAGGAGCTCAGGTCTTCATCAGATGGAGTCTTGTGGCCTCGTTCCTTATTCTGAAACAAAAGCAAACGAACAAAGAAGTTAAGCTGATTTTGCATTTTAAAATTTGCACATTCCCCTCATGCAAATATTGTTCATTTCAGCTATTAGTGACAATGTGTCTCCTAAATCACAGAAAGACCATTCTCAGTGTTTGTGTACTGCAGGCTTCATGTTTTCACATCACAATACAAGCTGCCCATTGGAGAAAGACTGGCTCCAGTTCTGCAGTGTTTTCACAAATGCTGCATGACACAAGGTTTGTGGCAATAAAATGTAGGTTTAAGGTTAATATGTCCAGCAGCACATTAGGTAATTTGATGTAATATTTAGATTTTAATGGCACTAAAATTATTCAGCTTCATTCAGAGCCACATGGGCACTTATCACAGAGAGTACCATCAGCCACTAAAAAAAACATCATCGTGATGCAATCATGGTTATTGCAGTTTTTAAAAGAAAGCCATCAGTTCCATTACGGGAACTGTTACATCTAGAATTTCTGAAACCTTCATTTTTGCCACCTATTTTGGATTTAGTTTTATCTTTTATAAGGATGTCAGACAACATTACTGACAAAGACAGACAGTTATACCAATTTACTAAATTGTAGTGCAACAGGTCAAACAGACAAGTCTGCTTCTGAATAACAGTTATTTTGGGCTGCCTAGGCTGTTTTAATAAGTAGGAGCTACAGTCTGGGATTATGCAGGCCCTTGAAAAATACTGACTGCATTAAAACCAAGTTAATTTGTCTTTATTATTTCGTTTTTATTTGTGGAAATAAAATGTCACATTATCACTGATAACTGTGTGAAACTCATATCAATTGACCTTTGCTCTGTTGATTTGGATATTTCCCTTTTTTCTGCCTCTCGGAAGTCCCCCAGCATTATGTCAAATTAACAGATAAAACAACTGGGCAACGTACTGGCGCTCTAATTAATTCATTGTTTTTACTAAGGTCATTTGGTTTAGACCATTTCAACCAGGTAATGCATAATATATCCTCAGTATGTACTCACTCACCCTGTACCAGATAAACATTGCTTTGTAAGCATTCTCATTGGAGCAAGAACCACAAGCCATTGTCTGAACACGAGTCATTCCGCTAGGAGCCACCTGACAGAAAGAAAGGCAAGAAAAGTATGTGAAGTTTAGTCAACTGGCACTATCGACAGAAAGTTAAATAAAAGCTAGAAAATGATGTACAATTTCAGTTAAACCATAATAAAAGCAAGGATAACAACACTTTTACCCTGTATGTTCAGCATATTAAATTCTAAGTTGTACGTGTGTGTGTGCGTGTGTGTGATACTAACTGAGATGAGACTTTCAGTAAGTTTGTCCGGAAAGTTCTCAGGTGGCAGGATTCCCAGGGCAGGTCGGTTCACAAAAGTACTCTTAAGGAAAGAGAGCACAATTAATTCAGGATCACATATGCATGCACATGCATGACTGTATTCAGTCATCACATACACTTTTAAAGATCATACTGTAGATATCAAATCAATCAAATCAAGTTTACTGTCATTTTGCTGTACATACACAGTAGCACAGGCAAGACGAGAGAGCGTTTCTTCAGGAGCCAATAACTCAAAGCAATTTAAATAAAGAAATGTTTGCATATGTAGATCAGCACTTCAGCATTCTGACAGCTTGTGGAATGAAGCTGTTCTTCCTTTAATGCTCCGGAAACGTTTGCCTGATGGTAGCAGTTCAAACAGTTTATGGAGAGGGTGTGAGGAGTCCCTGACAATGTTCAGTGCCCTGCTCCTGCAGTGGCTCTGGAAAAGTTCTTGGACAGAGGTGAGGAAACTCCGGTGACCCTCTCAACTCTTGTAAGGATCCTCTGCAGGGCTTTTCTGTCCGACATACTGCAGCTGGAGTACCATGTTGAGATGCAGCATGTCAGAACGCTCTCCACCACACGTCTGTAAAAAGTCCTGAGGATGCTGGCAGTGAGAGAGGCTTGTTTCAGCTTCCTCAGGAAATGCAGTTTCTGCTGAGACTGTTTGGTGATCACTGTGGTGTTCTTATTCCAGCTCAAGTCCTGCGAGATCTGCACTCCGAGGAACTTGATGTTCGCCACTTCTCCACTGTGTAGCCACTGATGCTGAGGGAAGCATGCTCAGGACATGACCTCCGGAAGTAGATAATGATCTCATTTGTTTTGTCCACGTTGAGCAGCAGGTTGTTCTTACTGTGCCAGCCCTCAAGGTGTTTCACTTCATTTCTGGACATTGATTGTTTGTTCTCACGAATAAGTCCCACTACTGTGGTATCATCAGCAAACTTGTCCCCTCATGTGTGGCTGCACAGTCGTGTGTTAGCAGTGTAAACAACAGTGAACTGAGTACACAGCCTTTTGAGGAGATCCAGTGCTCAGCGTGATGGAGTTGGAAATGTTCCGACTCAGACAGACTCGGTCCTTCAGTCAGAAAATACAGGACCCAGAGACATGTGGCGGTATCCAAACCGAGTAGGAGGAGTTTCTCAATTAGTCTCTGGAGGATGATAGTATTAAACCTTTATTTTCCAGGTGGGTGATGATTGAGTGCAAGGTGGTGGATATAACATCCTCTGTGGAACAGTTGGGACGGTAAGCGAACTGAAGAGAGTCAAGCGATGCAGGAAGGCTGGCTGTGATATGTGGTTTGACGAGCTGTTCAAAACACTTCATCACAATCCGTGTCAGTGCGACGGGGCAATAGTCATTCAGACAGGCTACACCTGATCTTGGACCTTGTAGCCCAGTTCCATTCAATTCAATTCAAATAACTTTATTGAATTTCCCTTCTGGGATAAATAAAGTATTTTTAATTCATTTCAATTTATTCATTCATTCATTCATTTCATTTATCCCCTTGGGGCAATTCAAAAGCTCACTGAGCATTTAATATGAAGAAATAGAAAAAACCCCAAAATAATAAAAATAAATAATAAACAGGGCTGCAAGGTGGCTTGGTAGTTAGCATCGTTGCCTCACAGCAAGAAGGTCGCCGGTTCGTGTCCCAGTGAGGACACCCGGGATCTTTCAGCGTGGAGTTTGCATGTTCTCCCTGTGCAGTGTGGGTTCTCTCCGGGTTCTCCGGCTTCCTCCCACAGTCCAAAAACCTGTTGATGTAATCGGTGATTCTAAATTGTCCGTAGGTGTGAATGCGAGTGTGCTTGGTTGTCTGTCTCTAAGTGTAGCCCTGTGATAGACTGGTGACCTGTCCAGGGTGTCCCCTGTCTTCAGCCTGAGTCAGCTGGGAGTCCAGCCCCCCTGCGACCATAGTGAGGATTAAGCGGTAATGGATGGATGGAAAATAATAAACAATAAACCACATCTTTTATATCACATTACATTACATTAGCATTGGCAGGGAGTCAGTGGGTCAAAGATGGTTATGCATCTTATACAGCTCTGGGAACAAAAGTTGCCCTCCTTCTTTGAGTCCAGCAGCCTGGGCAGCGAAGGCGACATCCAGAGGGGAGCCACTCAAATG